GTTTCATCAAAATCCAATGAGTGGTTCTTCATATATCAGTGGAACAGTCATGGAACAGCTAAAAATCAGCTAATTATCATGCAAATTAGGTAATTAATATTCATAGATTTTTACCAAAACCTAATCAACTCTGCGCAGTATCCCAGAGCATCTATGTACCAAGTTTCACCAAAATTTGATTAGTGGTTCTTGAGATAACGGTGGAACAAAAAAAGTGACATACATACATACATACATACATACATACATACATACATACATACGGACATACAGACATACAGACAGGGTAACTGCAAAGACTCCCTTTTGTGCTTCGCACACGGGAGTCAAAAATAATATTTTTTTAGCATTTTTTTGCACTTACAAGTTGGCGGGTGCGAGAAATTAGGCTGAAATAATATTTTATTTTTATTTCATTTTTGGCTCTAGTTCATTCGGCGGGTTCGCGAAACAAGGGATAATAAAAGTCTGGCCTAAGGTGACAGTTCGGGACTTTGAATGTCACTGTTTTCTCTCCTAATCTTTACTTTTAATGTGCAATTTTCAAGTGCAAGTGCTGACATATATAGTACATTTTGCTACAGAAACCAGTTTGCGACTACGTGACAAGGCTGTGTTGCCATCTTCCTATCATAATGGTATTATGGCAGGCACAAGCACAAACACAAGCACATGCGGACCTTAACCAAAGTTCTGCCAAAGTTGTATTCATTAAATGATAGGAATCTTGGCCATTGGATTCAGCCTTCCCATTGAGTATGTGGCACACTCGTGTTCAACCTAAGATACAACCACTATATTACCAATGATGTAAGCAGATTAGGGTTCAGTAGCCAGTCAGACACTATCTTGGAAGTACCTTCGCATTGACTTGAATTTCTTCTTGATTTATTTTTAAATGTCAACTTGAGTTACTTTAATTAGTTACATAGTTGCACAAAATTAGAACATGGGCTGTGATGCTTTAAGGATTGACAGAACTGAATAGTGAAAATTTGAACACAGGCTGTACAGCGACTGTGACATTTCAAGAATTGACACAGCTGACTAGTAAAAAATTTGAAAATGGGCTGTACAATGACTGTGGTGCTTCAAGAATGGACACTGCTGAATAGTGAAAATTTGAACTTGGCTGACTAGAGAAAATGAGAAAATTTTTAAAAGCATCACAATTGTTGTTTGCTGGGTGAAAGGTTTGATTAAATAAATGAAAGAACAAATGTAAAGCAAACTTGCTGCCATGGAAACAATAAACCGGTCCCACCATATATAACACATGTAAAAACACTTGTTTACACAAAATTTGAACCAGCAATGATTATAGCCATTCAGATAGAGTTAAGAAACAGTCAAGGCTCTTACTTTGTGTGAAAAAATCTATGACCCTCATGCATACCATCATGTTTACCCCGCTCAGGTTCATCCCATTCAACACCAAGCCACTCTCCTGGAAAATACAATGCAACAACCAAGATAAAATCAATTGAAGCTTAGAAAGTACTTTTGTGTGCTGATCAAGTGTACTGGAAACATGAAATAAATATAAGAAAGACTTACATGTACATGTGAAAGTAATAAAAAAATAAATTAAACAAGAAGTATTTGCTATTAAAGATGCTCAATGTTAAAGCAAAATTTGCAATCCACAGAATTGAAGTTGATAGTTAATCTTAACTAATTTTATTGTTAAATAAGGGTCCATTAAGTCTAGAGATATCTGTGGAACATCTAAAAATTTGCTAAATTGAATGTGTCAATTTGGGTAATCACTGTCATCACAAGAATAATTTGCTGGCCAATGTTGTTATTTACATATAGATCAGCAGTATTGCTTATCAAGCTAAAACAAAATATTGCAACAATGTTTCATTATCCTAGACTTGATGATTTTTTCTTATTATAAGTGAGACTGACATGTTTTATTATCAGTGGGACTGTGTGTTTTTTTATAATCAGTGGATATGCGACAAAAAATATGTAATAATTATTAATATATTTACACTAGATCCGAACACAACTTTGAATATAATTCATACCAAGTCCATAATGACCAACCTGTTTAGGGCCATAACGTCCAAAACCAGGGCTGTAAGGTCTTTTATTTATCAGCGACTAGGACTGCAAGTTTCAGCTAACCATAGATTTCATCCCTAACTTTGGCCCTGAGTTCAGTAGGTTTGCCTTGCTCCACTGATCATTTGGTCCCCAGTCATGAGAAGACGTATAGATCGGGGATTCAACACCTGCCTACAAATTGATGGCAGAGAGCCTTTCATGTAGTTCCCATGATTGTAATCAGTCAAAACGTCGATCGATCAATCTATCAATCACTTATCTTGTTTTACACAAACAAAATAAAACTTTGTTCATAAATACATCAAGAGCAAGATGGTGGAAAAAGTCTATTTGCTCGACCCTAGCCAGAAATCTTCTGTAATTTCACTTTCAGTTGAGGTATTTGGGATAGTTAGATGTATCAACCTGTTTATCGCTCGATACAGCCCTTCACAGTGTTGAATCCCTGGTCTATACAATTTCTCAGGATTGTGGGCCGAATGATCTGCGGAAGGAGACCCGCTTACAGGACTGTAGTACTCAGAGCTACCCTAAACCATGGACCTATCAACACAGGATGAACATCAAGATTAAAGTATTAAAAGAACATTTTGTTACAGGAGAGGTATCTGCTTATTCTTTTGTTCGCCTAATCTCTTTGATGTACCGTACTATGTGTGTTGCCGCTAAAAAGGAGGCGTAGCTCTGGTACGGAAAATTAAATATTTTGTGAATATAATACAAGAGTTGCAACCAGTAAGTAAGCAAGTAAAACCAGTTTCTCCACTTTTAATGTTAGAAATTATTACATTTTTCAAAAAACCAGAACTTGACTGCTGTCAATTTCCGATCCATGACACTTTTAATGTTAATAGGTACGTGTATTTGCTTTTGATTGCAACATTCGGTGACCGTTTGCAGTAGTTTGCAGTTGTTTTTTTTTCGCTCTGAATATTGCTTTGATTTGAACTGAATTGTTTTTTTACACGTGTGTTAAATATCTTGTGGCATATTTCTGGGTTGATAAACCACTATTTTCTTTTAATTCTTACGCATAGAATGATTGCTCGGTTATTCTCAGGCTGGTGCAAATTTGTTATACACGTGTTTTTGACATGACTTGTTGTTAGTAAAGTATAGATCGCGTCATGGTGTTTCAGTTGTTTTATTTCCTGTTTGACAGTTGTACAATCGTCGTAATGGTCCGAAGTTATCATGCAATGTCATTCAAACATGTTCGAAAGGTGTGAATTGCGCAGGATCAGTCTTGTAAGAGTCAAGTGCCTGCAGTAAAAAGCTAATAAACATTAAGGATGCTGTACACGTTTTTGGTATTGATTTTCTAAACTGATATTTTCATATAAAATATTTACTGAACAACACAAAGCTATATATTGATGGAAAGCTTATTTCAAACTATATATGAAATCGACAAGATAGTGTGTGTATGGATGTGTATAGTCACGTGATCTCTGTGTAAACACAGAAAGCCATTTTCGGTAAAAAAAATAATTGAACCAATGAATAAACAAATTTAGTGGAACATTGGCAACAAAACAGTTTTTCAGACGACGCTCACCACCATTTCGTGTTAATTGAGATATATATCTACATGATAGTTGGAAAACAAATAATAATTTAGCTATCTTGAAAAAACAATGCGATCTGGTTCTTTTCGGTATTCAGAAATTAGAACGTAATTTCGAAACAAATAGGACAAGTCATTGTCAATGACACGTCCCCGTTCCGTTCATATTTGAGTGACATATACATTCAAAGCAGATCATGACCGAAATGCACCTGCATATGTACAACACATTGTACTAAATCTGAACAAAATCCATGCATGCATGACTGAGATCCGGTTCTGGAATTGTGAAAATACATGATTTTAATGCATTTTCGGCCTTAAAATGGCCATCATTCAGCTATTGCTAAGCGGATCAT